ACTCTGATGTTAGCCATACAAAAACAGTTATAGGCCAAACTTGGAATTAATGATAGAAGATGCCCGACCAAGCCACGTTTTTTAGTATGTAGAAAAACTGGGTTTCAAATAATCCCTTACTAGATTGATGTTAAAGATCTTTCATTTCGTTTGAAAAGGCGAGTGGAAGGGATTCATAAGTTGGCCTAACTGGAAGTTGTAAGAATATTGCCTTGGAGCTGTGACTGTAGATGTAGGCATATAGGTCCTCGACCCATCGCCCTGCGACCCCGATGAATCCTTGCTTTGACGATGTCCGTCATATGACGGACGAAAGCTCAGCAAGGATTCATTGGGGTCGCAGGGAGGTGTGCCGAGGACCTATTCGCACCAAGCTACAGTCACATCTCCAAGGCAATCCCCCTACAGTATCTGGTGCGGCCAACTTACTTTTCCCTCACATTAGCCTCTTCAAACTAAATGTAAGGTACTCCTCCAACATCACGTTTTCATAATGTTCTCATAAAAGTTGCCGCAGGGTCTAAATGGATAATCGTTCTTCTAGGGCATACTTGTCATGCTTGAACGTACTCGTTTCCTGAATATTCACTCATCCAGTTAACTAGATCTGGTTTGTAGGCCCTCGATAGAAAAACAGGCTTAAGTAGACCAGATCTTAAATCTAAGGCGATCTATTTTCAGTCAAGCGTTTCTATGGGATAAGGAAAATATGACCACATTTTAAAATGTATTTCATTCTACTAATCAGAAATAAAATAAGGTGGATAAATATGCCCCTGTAAGCCCTAATATTCAGTTGAAAAAGGTTATATTGAGGTGAATTTTATTTCCTGGGTAGGTTAAATTTATTGAGTTATCACAATAATTTTTCTTTGAAGAATAAGAGCACAGGAAACCTGGTCTGGCAGACAGAGGACACCACGTAAGAGAGAAAGAAGTTCAGGCTCATCCAAGGACGAAGACTGTATGTGAGAGGAAATAAGAGACAAAGCGGTAGGGAAGAAAGGAGCAGGAAGTATAAATGTCGAGTTAGGAGAGGTGAACATAATCTGCTTTGTAAGAGATCCTGTCCTGACGTCCAGTTCTAGAAGTCTCCTACCATGTTATAAGTCTTTGTCTGTTCACACACAAAGGCAGATAGGTACACGTGCATCCAATCCTTCCTCCACCAGCCCAGCACGAACCAAATGACTTTGTTTCGCTTAGTCGCACCAAACAAACCCTAGAAACATCGAGTTGGCGCCAGCAGCCGACCCAAATGCCTGACACATCGAGCCAACCACTCGGTGCCAGGGCTACGCGTGTGCGCACACAGGGCCAAAAAC